ATTAGTTTTGTCAATTTAATTCGCGAAATGGGTAATTATTATTTTTTGGCGTTCGTTGAGGGTCTTGGATGAAAAATCCTGAAAAAACATGAAGAAGGTGTCCAGGGGAGCCCCAGGAGGTGACCTCACCCCTCAGTAAATTTTTATTTCACTTATTTTTTCCTTTATTCCTATTATCTCCATGCAATCAATGATAATTTGTTGGCGGGCTGGGGAGTCTTTTGTTTTCCACGCGCAATTGCTCCGCGCATCTTGGCGACGCCATGTTGAGATCAGAGGGGGGACGCATAAATTTTTCTACGCCGCACCGTGCGGATGCGTCTCGCGAGTTTCCGAAGTAAATTCATATCACAACGGAGTAAAATCATCGCCGTGATCTCCAGGAGGTGACCCACGACCTCGCTAAATATTAGTTTTGTCAATTTAATTCGCGAAATGGGTAATTATTATTTTTTGGCGTTCGTTGATGCTCTTGGGTGGAAAATCCTGAAAAAACATGAAGAAGGTGTCCAGGGGAGCCCCAGGAGGTGACCTCACCTCTCAGTAAATTTTATTTCATTTATTTCTTCTTTTATTCCAATTATTTCCATGCAATCAATGATAATTTGTTGGCGGGCTGGGGAGTCCTTTGTTTTCCACGCGCAATTGCTCCGCGCATCTTGGCGACGCCATGTTGAAATCAGAGGGGGGACGCATAAATTTTTCTACGCCGTACCGTGCGGATGCGTCTCGCGAGTTTCGGAAGTAAATTCATATCACAACGGAGTAAAATCGTCGCCGTGATCCCCAGGAGGTAACCCACCACCTCGTTAAATATTAGTTTTGTCAATTTAATTCGCGAAATGGGTAATTATTATTTTTTTGGCGTTCGTTGATGGTCTTGGATGGAAAATTCAGAAAAAAATATGAAAAAGGTGTCCAGGGGAGCCCCAGGGGAGGTGACCTCACCCCTCAGCCTCAGTAATCTTTCATTTCATTTATTTCTGTTTTTGTTTCTATTATTTGTATGAAATTGATGATAATTTTCTGTTGAGATGAAAAATCCTTTGTTTTCAATGCGCAACTCCTCCGCGCTGTTTGGCGACGCCATTTTGAATTTAGTGTGGGAGGGCAGAAATTGTTCATCCCAGGCATTTTTATTTTGTTCAGAGGGTAAATTAATTTCAAAACGGGATAAAATCGTTGGCCTGATCACCAGGAGGCGATCCGCAATCTCACTAGATATTTATTTCAGCTTTTTCCTCTTTTATGAACCTAGTTAACTGTTTTTTTCCTCTTACGAATTTCTTTGTCGAGGGTCACTTATCGACAGATCCACTTTTTTGGCACCAGGGGCTCCCCAGGAGTATGTGTCACCTCCTGACCGACGGTCTTACCTGCAGAAGGTGCTCTGGGAGGAGGGAAACTAATTACTAATAGAAATTAAATGTAATTATTAGGTCAGGAAAGGTTATAATTGGGTTTGAAGCAGTTTTATGGTTTTTTTTTCTTCTGAGGACTTGGGGTGAGGGTGAAATTTTGATTTTAGAGTCAGTGGTCCCCGGGGACGATTTTGGTGCGGGTAATCGCGGATTTTCTAGTGTACCGACCATAAACAAATCGGGAAGTGATCTTGAAAACTTTTTGAATGTTTAAGACAGTAATTTTTAGTTTTTTTGAGTTTTTTTTCCGTAATCGAGTGTTGTGTTGTGTTGTGTTCTGTTCTGCTGGCGACCTGTTGAGGAATTATTTGGTGAGTTTTTTTTTATTTTTATTTATTTGACTAATATCTGAAAATATCTAACATTTTTAATGAGTGAAAATCAATTCTTTCAATAGAGACTAATTTTTTTTTATTTAAAAAACGAATGAAATACGACAGGCCGTAGGTTTGCAGGAATTAATTAATTATTCAATTGAATTATTAATTTAATACTTCTCGATTAAATATTTTTTCCTTCTTTTAATATTCGGAGCTAAGTAAGACTTATCATTTCAGTTGGAAAAATAGATGGGGAAAATTAATAGAATCCAATGGGAAAAATAATTAGCTGGAGAATTAATTGAGAATAAAAATCCATGAATTTTCATTCGTCATTAATTAATCATGGTTTATTATTGTTGCAGTATTATAGATATAATGATTCGTAACGTATTTTACTGATATTTATACACGGATTATACAATATTTACAGAAAAACATAATCGTCGTAAGCAACACTTTATCCTCAAAATTTCTCATTTTCACTCTTTCTCTTTTTTTAATCATCCAATTAATTTCTGATTTCACTCTGACTTCGTCGATAATTTCACTCATTTCGGATTTGATTCTCGGTTGTATTTACAGTTATAATTATATTCTGCATTGGCGCGTTTACAGACAATATATTAATCCTCGAGTATTTTTTTATACATGCAAACGACACAAATACGGACAGTTTTCAGTTGTATACATTTTTTAAATTTCTTTCTTGTTTATTAAAATTGGTTTTTTTTTTTAAACTCTCATCACTCATCAGTTCATTATCTGATTAAACACTTTGGATCTAGTACACGACATAGTACGCGAGGAAAATTGCATTATAAATAGAAAAATTGAGATGAAACATCTGGTATTCACTCTTTGTTCTTTATTTAATGCTAGATTGGTGATATTTTTTTTTGCCAGAGTCGTGATGATAACTCCGGATTATTTATCTGTGATGGTCAATTTCAGTTGTTTTGGGATTTTTTAAATATTTGTTAACTACTCGCTAAGGATATTTTAAGGGTAATACCGATTTCGTCGAATCCCACAGCTGCTAATTAGGCAACAATCAAATCTCAGTGATACCTAGGTTTATTATTATTTATAATGGGTTTTCTGATGTTACTCTTTATCGTTGCCAACGTACAAATATATTTTTATTTTTTCGTTACTTTTTTTTTCCATTTTTTTATTCGTTTTGTAAAAAATTGTATCGATATGATTGGGCGCTGGTTCAGCGACATGATTTTCTGCTCAAAGACACTCGATTACGAATGCCGGGTTTTAGTGAGAAAAAATACTGGGAATGATGGGGTGATTCGAGGGTTTTGATTGCATCTGATTATTCACTGGAAAATGCAAGAATTTCGAGACAATCGAGTGTAAAAAATGCAAACTGATTCTAACTCGAAAATCAATTTAAATGAAAGAAAAAAGAGGAAAAAAAATCGAAATTAACGGGAAATAAATTAAATAAAAAATATCCAATCGATTAATTAAATTTTCCTCCATATGCATCGACCTGACTTGCCACAGATACAATAACACCCATGATAAATGTAGGGAACGAGGGGGGAAAAATGGACACCAGACTTGTTTTTTTAAATAAAATCCCATCAAATTGTCGACGAAGTGGAATAATTTTTCCTATGAGTAGTTTAAGCTTTCTGTAATGAGCCCAGACTGAACTCAATCTATGGAATTCATTAGTTCCTGAGTTACGAATGATTAAAAAAAAATGGTTCAAGTGTTCATTCAGCCCCAGTCTCCCTCATAATTACGTTAGAGTTCTCATTTAACTTACTATAATCTACGGATGATAATACTATTATGATACAGGGATATAAGTACATTGGTTTAGAGATTGCAGGCTGCTCCTCTCATATCACAGCGAGGGGCGTCGCCGGGCCGGCCTTTTTTTTTTTTTACCTTATTATCAATAACTTAGATGAAATAATCTGTCACTCGATTTTTTCACTCATTATACATCACTTTATACAGCTCTCACACATATACATCGTATTTATAGTATTATTTATAATATTCATTAGTCGTTCATTGAAAAATACTAATAAACAATTGATTAAATTCACTGGTGCCACAAGGCGCCACGTGTCTTGCGGCTCAGGAGTTTAATTTAGTTAATTATCAACTGCTGAGCTCAGTCTAGGCGCCCTCGCAACAACTTTTGCACAAATTAAAATTATTGCCGATTACTTCATCCTTGATTTATCTAATTTCAATTTTGTTTAAAAATAATGTCACTTTGTTCTTTATTTTTTGGAATTCAATCAAATGATCGGTTTAATTCATATTTATTAATTAATCGTAGAAAATCCGAATTTTCAATGTCGTCCTTTCGATTTATTTTTCATTTGTTCGTTTTTTCGCGATTAAGACTAGTTGATAATAGGAACATGATGTCATTTCAAACTGGATATTATTCAGTATTATTTATTTCAACAAGTTCCCTTGGAATTATTGAGAGTTGAAAAATGCCCCGAGGGTCTTTTTGGTTTATTTAAAATGCATCAATGAATTTGGGGAAAGGGGGGGGGGGGTGATGGGGATAATATCGGTGAATAGCCATGGAAGTTTCCGATTCAAAACCATGTGATATCGTATCGTTATCTTTACTATAGATTCCGAAGTACCGAGAAAATTAAATTACCCCAGTTAATTCGAAAAAATCGATTCTATGGGTTATTATCGATTTTATCGAACGCGGGTTTTATCGCACGGTGATCGATCGGAAATTTCCTCAGCGTTCTAATGAGACGTGATGATTGAACGATCAACCCCTCCGTCTCGAGATATCAATGATAATGTTTCACCAATTTATGATAAATGATTTTCACTTATTGAAATTGTTGTTTTCTTGATTGAAACAATAGTAATTATATTTATGCGGCTAATCCTTCACCTCTATTTGCAGGTGGTGGTAATCTCGGTGCTGCTGGTGTCGCTGTATCACTCTCCGTCTCTCTCGTTGGACCATGACGATCATAATGATGCTGGATACTTTCACTATTCCAAGTAGGTACACTAGCTGAATTTTGATTACCAGTATTGGAAGACGGTGTGCCAGGTGAATTTGATGGTGATGGTGTATGAAATAGCATTGAGCCCGATGGCACTAGTGGTTTACCATCATCAAGTGGACTGTTTGATGTTACAACCGGTTGTTTTTCCATTGAAAAACCATTACCACTTGTTGAATTACTCAAACCACCTCCATATATCGTACCGAATAGACCAGCGTATTTACTCCCTGATACTGGATGACTAACTGGCAATCCATTATTACTTTGTATCACTGATATCTCGTTCAGCTGTAAGTAATGCAGGCCGGACGGTTAGGTTTAATTGCGGTATTATCACCTACAAAGTAAGAAAAAAAATGAAAATGATGTCGGGGAGTGCTTCGTCATACGATAATTGCGCGAGGGATTATTTATAGTTGAAGTTATCCTGATGTGGCTAAAAATTACACGAGTTGAGTAAAAACAGCAGTTAAAAAAATATTATATACTTATATATGAATATGTATGTATATGATTAGAACATATGGTTTTTTATTCAACACGTGCCATTTTTTTAGATGCTGAGATAAATTTTACTATAAACTTTTCAATGTGTAGGGATGATTAGTATAGGGAGGGCTGATTTATGACTAGATCGGGAATTTTCAACGATCAATTGCAGGATTGAAGTTTGAAGGTATTGCTAATTGGCGATTATCGAGTCTTATCGGCTGGGAATTAAATACTTGGGTGATAGGGGGGCAATTAGGGTGACATCTGGTTTTATCGATTACAATTGAATATTTTAGCGGTTCATGTGTGCGATTTTTCTGGAGAGACAGATTTTTCGGGGAATTTTGGGATGGCAGGTGTTTCAAAGCGATTTTTAATATCTTCGGAAGTGACGAAATCTAGTGACAAATCGAACCTCAGAGAATAAATCGTCTCGATGTTTTTTTTTTGAATATGTTATTTACCAATAACTTGATCATGCCGGCTACGTACTTTCTGCTGTACGCCATTAAGGAATGGCCCGGGTAGATATGGGTAGAAGAGATCCGGTCGTCGTTGAAGAAACTCCGAGTCCTTGGGTGTGATTGGTAGTGGTGGTAGGTCCAGTGACATCCTTCTGCCCCTTCGTGACGCACCGTTGGTCCACATGTGCGTACCCATGTGCACCTGGGCAATTATGAAAAATAGTTGAGTGATTAAAAATCATTAAGAGGCCTTCAGGGCAAAAAAACAACTCCTGAGTTGCGATGAAAATTTTATTGTCATGATGGTCTAAAAAATTTGTTCATTTCGGAACAATATAATGCAACAAATTCTGAGTGATCTGCAGTCAATACACCATTTCAATAATTGTATAAAAATACGAGGCGCGCGTTGCCATCTTGACAACCCGGCACTTTGCATTTTTTAATGATTATTTAAATTATTCATCTTCACCAAATCACTCTCAATTTATTTCATCCTGTTCTAGGGAAGTGAACAATTATTTTGAGCTTTTCCGAAATTTTTATCCCATTTTTGGCCCAAGGAATTTCAGTGATTATTTTTTATCTCTAGAGGCCTCTCAAATACCTCGTTAAATCACCTGGTGGATAAATTAACGTGTGGATTAGGCGCGCGGGGCGTTAGTGCAAAAGCGAAATAGTGGAAAACTCAGTGGTGGATTACGGGTAGTAGTTAATCAATCGGGACAAATTAATTCAAACAGTAGAAATATTGCAGATATAGAGGTCTAATTTCGTTTGATAAGGGATTAGGAGTTTTTTTTTAGTGTGGACATGGGGGTTGTTAGGGGGAATTCTGATGTTTATGTACCTTGAGATTGCCCTTGGTGGTGAAGGCCTTCTGGCAGACGGTGCATCGGAAAGGCTTGTCGCCCGTATGCGTTCTCATATGGATCTGGAGCGCCGAGGATGACGAGAAATTCTTATTGCAAACCTGGCACAAGTGCTTACTCGACATGCCTGCAAACACATCCGTCACACTCACACATGTCCACATCTCTTTTTCTTATTTTATCCATCATAATTCGGTTGGGGAATGGTAAAACCGTCTGGATTGACTTTAGTATTTCCTCAGTATCTCGTTATCTCGGACAGGTGGATAGGGATTTTTTCTACTATAATGAGATATCGCTCTCTGTCCTTCAGTTTGACCCTTCAAAGTCCTCAGGGCGATTTTTACGTTAAAGATTCCAAGGTTTTGGGGAAAAACTGAGGTCTTTATCTTTGCACTGAAATTATTCTCGTGATTGATTCACTTAAGGATATACGAGTACTTCTATTTCACTCTAAATTCTCCGATATTCTTCATTCGTTATAATTTCAATTACTCCTCCGTAATAATGGAATCGTAAAAAATATAGTATTCATCAAGAAATAGAAAATAATCGATTTGAGGGAGGATATCCTTAATTAGTCCCGAAAATTTATGAAATCGAAAGACTTGAGTCCGCGGAGACGGTGAAAAATAGAGATAAAGCAATTAGGAATAAAAAAAATTCTTCTCCACTAGAAGCGAAAAAATCTGAAGCCCAATGATTATATAGCACTCGTGCATCAATGCAGTTAAATGAGCCGTAAGCTGGAAAGATAAGCATCAATGACTGTTTTGTAATCTACCTGGGAGAAGATACTGAATTAATGAGAGGGGGGTGGTTTGTGAGGGTTGAACGAGGGAAAATTGTAACTTACTCGGCCTCTTGGGTGCTGGGAGATCACCCTCGGTGGGTGATCGTTTCACTGGCATCGGGGCTTCAATCGGCATTGGCGATGGCGGTGGTGGTAAGGGCGGGGGTGGCGGTGGTGGTGGCGGTAGACTCGATTCATCGGTACAAATCGAACTCTGGGAATTCTCCTGATCCTGATTGTGCTGAGGTGTCTGTTGACCCACCTGTTTGTCACTGAACAGGTGGGGCGGCATATCGCGAATCTTGTGGGTCAACATGTGCTGCTTCATATTTCCCTGGAATCATAATTAAATTCGATTGATTTTTTTTTATTAGGAATTCAGATTCACGTCATTAATTATTCATTATAGAGTCCTGACCTTCAAGTTTATGAATTTCAATTCTCAATATTTTCTTTAGCTTGAAGTTTATTGCAGTTGCAATTTGTAAATTGAGTCGGGTTGGATGGAGTTTTATTTCTTTTTTTTTTCTTTGGGGTGATAATTGAATTGAAGGTGAGGTATCTATAGTTGATTGATCGATATTTCGATTACCAGAAGAAGATGATTCGAGGTGAGAAGTCCGAGGGCGGCTGGCATCCGCGGGGGCAGGTGAACGTTGGACGTTGACGTCAGAGCAACCCGCCCCCCTCCGTTACCCGTCCGCCCCCGGTTTCTCTCATCGTTTATTCGTCTTCTTGCTTTAGAATTTGGGACGGACGATCTTGGCTGATCCACGCATTTACACGCTCGTTTATTTGTATCGTCATTCTGAAAATTTTTTCGTTTCACGTTTCTTTCTTTGGATTTTTTCCACCCTCGTTACAAGAATTCTTTTTTTTTTCTGGGAAAATTCAATCTGCATTTGGTAATATCAATGATTGTTTAAATGCGAAAGCTTTCGTGAACGATTTCATCTAGAATTGAATTGAATAAAAATTCCCATTGACAATTCAATAAATTTCTATCAGTGTAAAGAAAAAAACGGTATCATGTCATGGGGTTTTTTGATTCCCTCGAATCTTCACCCCCCCCCCACCCAGATTTATGAATAAAGTCTGATGAATTCGAGGGATTGAGGTGTGGCATTGATATCGCGTGCAGATATTTCTTTTTTTAGTCTTCACTTTTTATACCTCATTTATGGAACAAATTTATTTGACTGAACAGGTAGAGGCTGGCTTATTTATTGGATAATAGGTGGTATGGGGTTGGGAGGGAGACTTACCTTTGTTGAGAAGCCACGGTCACAAATGGTGCATTTGAACGGCCGCTCCTTCGTGTGACTCCGATAGTGTATCTCCAGTGCGGAGTTACACGCGAATGTTTTGTAGCAGATATTACACGTTGTGTTGCCACGTACTGCAACAGAGCGTGTCAAAGTTGAGTTATTTTGCAATAAGGAATCCTCCTTTTGTTTATTCTCTCATATATTTAACCGTTGAAATAATAATTTGTTGAATTTTCCGGTAAATTGCACTCAACTCGGTTTAGAAAAATATTTGTCAATTCTCATCTCTTTAGACAATTTATAAAATTTATTTATCATTGCCTCTAGTATCGGAACAGAAAAATTATTTCCAAAGAATTCAATAGCGAAAACAAAGGGTAATAAATGAATTTAATTCTTTTTTCAATCCGTTTGAAATTTTAGAGCTGTCTCAATTTTGAATACTCTCCGACGGGTACGATCTTATGAATTATCTGAACTCGTGATTATTGAATTGCTCAAAAATAATAATGATAATAACAACTAACGATAAAGATAAGGGTAGAAGGGATATAAGCGTCAAGGCAAAGTCCATGTTATACCAAAAATTTTATTTGTAGGTTTTACATAAAAATAACGCGATTCAAACTATCCTCATACTCGAAGAAATAATAATCCGAATAGACAATATAAAATAGAAAGAAGGAATGAGAAATATACAGGTATATCGAAAGCTCTACGACAAAACACAAATTGATAGCTCAATAAAGTAATACGGGAGATAATAATTCGAGTGTAAAAGAAAAAAAAAACGAACAACAAAGTTGCTTGGGCGGTGAGGAGAAGGGGGTGGGGGCTAAATTTGGACAATTGGGATGGGATGGAGAATGTGTGATGGGAGTTTTATAGCGTCTCGCCTTGGTGCTAGCAGCGCCTACCTGCTGGGCCTCCGACAGCGAGACCTAGCGGATTGTAGGTTGATGATGCAGCTAGTACGGCTGATGTAGTTAGTGATGCTAGGGCCCCGGGATTTCCCCCATTACCCGGATTATTCATTGTTGCTATGCTGTTGATGGGTCCAGACGATTGGATATTGTTGACTGAGGTCGGTGATGATGACACTGCCTGCAGTAGTCCGGCAAACATTCCAAATGTATGAGAGTGATGAATATTGGCTGGTGGTGGTGGTGTTGTTGTTGATACGACAGAGCCAGGTGTTGATGAGGCACGTGGTGTCAGATCAAGTGGTGTACCCACAATTGAACTTGGTGGACTATTGCTTTTCTCACTATTGTATCTATCCATCGGTGATGTACGATCAACAGATGCCATCGTTGTTATCGTTCTCACTTGATTCTCGAGGGCTGCCAGGGATGTGGAAAAATTTGGTATCGATGATTCTTTAGTCTCATTTCTCTCAGTCTCATTATCCTCATCGATCTCTGTTTCGATCTGTCTTTCTGATTCGTCAATCTCCTCGTCTCGTCTTTCATCGTCCTCCGGTTCCTCCTGGTCATCCATATCCTCGGACTCATCCACGTACCTCTGATTCATCGGGATATTTGGCATTTGCGGTCGGAGATCTTTCATGTCCATTTCAGGATCTTGGTGGTGCCGATCCATTGCTGGATGCCTCGGTGGAAAAGCCATGGGAAAAGCGCCTGGTGGATGAAGATTGGGGAAACCACCTGGTAGGAAGGAGGCGAGGGGATGGGGTGGATAGCCTGGTGGAAATTCATTGACTTCCGCTGCTTGAATTTGCTCGGGGCTGAGGTCGGTTGGTTCCCCTGTGTGCAGGCGTATGTGTTGTTGAAGAACTAGGGCATTTGTGAATTTTTTGTGACACACTGGACACTGGTGGAGGACCCGGAGGGGTGGTTTTGCTCGGTGAACTCCCATGTGGGTTTTCAAATTGCCTTTGGTTGTGAATGCTCTACCGCAGATTTTGCACTTGAAGGGGCGTTCACCGGTGTGCGTTCTGTAGTGCATCTGCAGTGCACTTTTGCAGGAAAGAACTCTGTGGCATATCACGCATTGATTTGGATCTGTTAGCTTGTGCTCGATATTGTCGACGAGTTGCTGAAGTTTGGATGTCTCGGATGTCTTTGTTATCTCGATTAGGCTCTCCCAGGAGTTGTCATTGCTACCGGGACGTGGTAGAAGACTCGAATAGATGGCTGGATCTCTGGCTGGATCGACAATCATACTTTCACTGACGTTGACACCTGGATGATGAGGGGCGGAGGACAGGTGGGGTGGGAGTTGTTGAACTGGGCCTGAGGCTGGACCAGTGACTTGAGGAAAGAGTAACCCAGCGAAGGACGTTTGCAAGCTTCCACTGCTTGCTGTACTGCTCGCTGGTGATGCTCCCGATGGATGATAGCTGGCTGGACCCAGTCTACCTGTTCCCCTACCCGAGAGATTTTCAGGTTGCTCCTCCATCTCCTCGTCACCCTCGTCCTCGTCAGGCTCTAATCTACCGCTAGCTTTGCTACTATCCATACTACAGTCTTCGTAGTTCTGTTGTGTCATTCTGTCCGGTGTTGGTTGAGGTGACGCCGTCAGGGGTTGATCGAGGTAACGTGATCTTGGGGATGATGTGTCAAACTCTTCAGGCTCCTCTTCGATCACTTCCTCTGGGTCTTCTGGCTCTTTCTTGAGAGTTATCAGAGGCTCATTACTCTGACTTGGCGGCCTCGCCTCGATCACTGGTGACGCCCTGTGCTCTCGCTTTATGGCGTCAAGACGCTCCTCTCGATCTTGAAACGTATGTGGTTGACTTGTGTTGTTGGGAATAGGGGATTTTGGTGAGTGGACTGGTGAGGGTGATGTTGTTGACGCTGGTAAACCTATCGCTGGAGGTCCTGAATTGGCTATCGTCTTACTCAAATTCTCCGGTGTCTCCTGATCTTGATCAGGTCGCGGGATCATTGGTACACGGTGGTAGAGACTGGGCATACCAGCTGCTATGGCAGCAGCTGCTGCTGGCAGAGTGAGACTCAGTGGTAGAGGCGGTTGAGGTGGAATAAAACCGTGGGCTGTTGATGGATGATACGGTGTGTGATGTGACATACTACTCCCTGATGTTGGTGGGCCCGTTGGTCCCGATGGCGGTGGTGGCGATGGCAGGGGTCTTTGGCCGGATGCTGCCAACTGTTGTAGCAGTGGTGGATGATACTTGTCTAGGTGTTCAGGCACGGGATTGGGATTCATTTTGACGTGTGGAAATTTGGCTGTATGACGCTGAAAGTGTACCTTTAGATTGCCCTTTGTCGTGAAACGGCTGCCACAGACGTTGCATTTGAATGGTCTCTCACCTGTGTGCGATCTTATGTGTATCTGGAGAGCTGAATCACTGCCAAATACTTTGCCGCAGTAGCGGCACCGGTGTTTGAAGAAGGGCTCACCACGTCCACCCGATGATTTCGAATCGTATGGCGATAGACGCGAGCCTTTACCACTTCTGAATGCCAATTCGTCAGCCAAATTATTGGCAAGTAGACCCTGGCTTGCATTATCGAGGACCTCTTGTGCACGCTTCTGGAGCATCTCGAGGGTATTTGGCTCGTTCAGTGGTAGTGGATCGTTGTTCGTTATTATTGTTGATGCGAGGGAGGAGCTTATCGAGCACAGCGACGGTGGCATGTGGTGGGACAGGGTTGTTGTTGTTGTACTCGTTGGTGTTAAGGTGCTTGAGGTGTCTACGGGGATTGTTGGAGTGGTTGTTGATGAGGGTAGTGTGGATGAGGGCAGGGTTATGCCAATTGGTGATACGCTACTCGAGTTTGGGCGATCTTGGGTAAAGCCAGAGGTCACTGTCACTGGTGATGTTGACGTTGTTACTGATACTGTCGACGTTGACATGTGATGGGTATGATGACTTGAGGGACGCGATGTGGGTGGGGACGTTAAGCTTGACAGTGGCTTTGGGTGAATTGTTGGTGATGGCGATTCCGTTGGTGTTTCTTTGCTGTCACCTTCTGGTGGCAACAATGGCTGTCCACTTGCACCCGGTCCGTGGGTTATCGATAGTTGCTGTTGCAGTTGGCTTATTAATTGCAATTGAAATACCTGCTGGTGTTGGAGGGTGTACAGGGTACTCTGAAGGAGAGCCAAATCCTGTAGAGCTGCCTCTGGATCAGCACCACTCGATAGGGCTGTTGCCGCGAATTGTGCGACTGCTACTTTAGTGTTTTGAAGTGCCTCGAGGGTCACGTGACTTGTACAACCAGCAGCTGGTGCAAAACCCCCCGAGGCACCGCCCTCGATGAAGCTGTTATTGTTCTCCGCGTCTTGGCGATTTCTCATTTGTTTGCGGTTACCCTCTTCGTCCTCCTCTGGTTCAAATACCTCGGGGAGCTCCTCCGGGAGCTCTTCCTCGTCTTCCTCCATTGGTAGTTCCTCACGGTCGTCGTCGTCCTCTTGGTGGGAACGATTCGACGTCAGATCCACGGGATCTTCACCCGGTACACGCCCTGGCTCTTCACTCTCCGAACCCGTTTCATTATCCTCTTCTGAAACAAATAATCACAGATTTTTATTAATCACGAGATCGTTTTTTTTACTTCAATCACAAATTAATTCGCGAAAAAATATCGTTGCTGGATCACATCAAATCCGACAGTCGGAAGTGAGTGGTAATGCTGATAATCGTGAGCGCGAAAAACTCGGAGCCAAAAATAGTTATTCAAATTTAACAGATATGGGTGGTTGAAATCTAAATGTCAGTTGTTGGGGTTGAATAAAAAATGTTGAACTTTGAAACACAATTTGCTTGATTAATTTTTAAAAGTTAATCATTGAACAAAGTATTTTTAATTTTTCTATCAGTCAAATTTCAAGAACTTGATACTCGAGTGACGAATAATCGGTTAAGTCGATTAAATTTCAACATTTATTTACGTAACTTAACTAATTATGCGTCGGATTTAAACAACTGATTATTTAATTCTCATCACTGCACAAGAGGTTTTGCCAATATTAATCCCCGCGTTCTTCACCGAAATAAAACTGCATACCCGCGTAGCGAATAACCTGATGAATAAATTGTGGTGCAATTATCACCTAAACAATTAACATCGCGCCTCTGACTCTGACCACTTCTTCTCTCCATTCGTCTAGTTATGCTCCATCGCATGAGCTGCATCGTTACTTGTTAAATAAAAAAAAAAAAACCACCAGCACAAGACAGGTTCACAGAAATTGCGATCCGACGGCGGGTCGTCGGTCAATTCCGCGACAGCACTTGGCCCTTAATAATTGATCCCAATCGGCCCGCGAGACAATGCAATCACAGGGTACATGAGTATGTGTAATAACTCATTAAAAAATGGTGGAAAATGAGGAATGATGATGGGGGTAAAAATTGAATTATCTCAAGTAGATGGGAATTGTTTTACCCGAGAGGGACGAGATGCGACTGACGGGTGCCACCACCGGCCGAGGTTCACCAGCTCTCGCCGTTGTAAAATTCCCCCACCATTTGCCAACATCCACCCGTTTTACCCCCACCACTGGTTAACTCCTACGCGCGTTGGTGGAGGGTGGAGGACAGATATATAGGGGGGAAAATGAGAGAGTGAGGATGAAACCTGGGGCACTTGGGTTATGACAGGAGGGGCGTTGCGATTCATAAATCAGGGGGAGTGCAGGGGCGGAGCCAGCGTGAGCCATTCACCGACGGCTTTATTAATTATTATTATGGGTGATAGGGACACCCCTTTTGGTGTTACCACCTACGCATATCGTGGGGGGTGCTGTTGATTTTCGTGGATTCATGGAGTCTTTTTTATTTTTTTTCCTTCGGCAATTCTTTGTCTAAATTATTACTCAACAGCACGAAAATTCAGTTTTTTTTTATTATTATTTCTTTGTGGTTTACTTGTTGCAAAAGGAATGCTATAAATTCTTCATACTCTCGGATTTTTATGACAGTCTCAGCTCGAAATAGTCTATTAGTTATTGTTATGAGAATATTATTTTTAGAAGGAGCAATTAATTGGTTATAGATCATTTCCGGACAAAAAGATGTCTTACGTATTTTCAGTGGATTGAAATCCAGAATTGATTTTAGATTTTCAAAAATTGATATAATCATATGATTTTTAAATCGCTGCGATCTTAGGCTCGAACGTGATTGAAATCGAATCGAAATGTCTCGTGAATTTATCATAAATTTTCATCAGAAGAATTTTTAAATTTCTTCTCGTCAGTCTCCATCCCGATATCTCCAGAAAATTTGTATAATAGACTCGTCACCCAAGGCTCTAAATATGCTTTTCCTGAAAAAGTCGCATTAGCATGAAGCATTGAGACTAATGCTTCCCAGATGGCTTTTGCCACGTGGTCAGGTAAATTTCGGAAACTCCGACGCAAACCCGTAATTTACAACTGCATTAAATTCCATCTGCGCAAGGTCAGGGTCACCCGGAGGAAGTGATTCTTTTTTCCTTCTTTTTTTCTCTTCTGCATGTTGCGCAATCCCAGACGTCAATCAGCTCTGTAAAATCCGTTTAGACTGGAAGCTACTTCATAACATTCTTCTGGTTCCAAAATGATTTATTGCTAGGGATTGTATATCATATCGTCATAAAGTCAGCGGGGAAGACCGGCAACTGCTCAGGGTCTCGTCGGGGTAAAAATTCCAGGGGGGATTTTTCAACATTTTTCGGAGGTAGTTCTTGAATATTTCCTGAGGTTTTCTTTACTGCGTTTCAACTACAATAGTGAAAATGGGTCGGAAGTCATAATTTACAACCGGGCGTTCTATTCGTCGCGTCGGAGGCCTGGAAATAGTCCTTTAAATGTAACGCCGGGACATCAACATTTCACTTTCTCGAATACCAAATTTTCAGTGGGACTCATTTATTTTCATTGATTAATGGATTTCTCACATTTAAACCGCTCGATGAATATTTTTCTCTCACCCTTTACGGGTATTTATTTATTTTTCCTTTATTTTATTGAAAACGTGTTCATGTTCATGGAGGGGAGTTGGGGGCGGTGGGTGAGTCGGGGACAAGGTAAAAATAAGGGGAAACGCGGATTATCTTATCGGGTTCACGAGCAACATCGCAACCCATCGAAATACTTATTCGCAAATTAATAAATAAGTTCGATCGATGCTTTGGGCTCTCGGGGACTCGTGTTAACGTGTCCCAACTGCAGACGAAATACCCCCGGGGTATTGGTGGGGGTATGGGCAAAATGTTGGATATATTATCTCGCTTATCGCGATATCCTTAACGCGGGAATCATGATCGTTATAGGGAATGCTGAAACTTGGTCAGCGAGATATCGGGTACATGAATTTTCGGTGGGGAATGGGTAAGAGGATTTCAATGTTTCATTTTGGAGGGGGGGAATTATCAACTATTTGTCACCATAATAAACTGTATAAATTTTTTTCTTCGTTAAAAAAAAAATGAATTTATCATTCACACTGTTAATCTCCGCTGTGCGAAATGACAATGAATCGTTTTTAGACTTGCACACCGATAAATTCATCAATTGCCAGCTGACACCTAAAACTACGATACAATACTCTCCTTTAATTGCGTGGGCGTTGATTGCATTATTGGCACTAAGGGTCAATAATTACGGTTGACTGGCCCTCCCCCACCCCACAGTATTGACCGTGAAAATAGGCAGGTATAGCTGACCACGGGATTTGACACATTTTCAATCGAGAGGGGAGAGAATAGGAGAGAGAAAGAAAAAAATAACTAGAATAAACGTAAATTGTCGATTGGATGATGGGGGGATAGGAGGATTTAACGCCCGCGCACGCGTTACCGTCTAATGGGGGAAAAATATCGGTGGACAAAGGACACTATGAATTTTAGGTGGTCAGCTGGTGACTGGAAAAAGCCCGTCTGAACAGCTGCTGCTCTTAACCGAGTGACCACCAGCCGCCCACGCACTAGAATTTCCCAGTTCTATCGCGAATTCTCGTGACAATGACTCTTGATGGTTTTATGGGGACTACTATATATTATCGAATTCAATGACAATTGTTCAATTTTGGGATGGATTCAGAATTTTTCACGGTTTATTACCTTTTTCAGGGAATTTTTATTGGGGGGGCCTTATAAATTCATCAATCTTTTTAGATAAAGCCCTTTTTCGAGTAATAATAATTTTTAACATCAATCCCTGAGAAGTGAAAAAAATTTATCACTGAAGGTTTAACCTGCGGTCAAAGGAATTTTAAATTGAATCTCAGATGTTTAATTGCAAATTCAGAGAAGAAATTCCCTGAAAATGGTGTTATTTATCCACCGTGTCACGTCATGGGGCTTGAAAATAAAGAGTAAATAAAAAAAAAATGTACGCAGTCATTTTATCGGGAGTAAAATCAGCCACAACGTGACCATTTGTGATATACATGGTACGTACTCTATATACGTACGTCTCCTTTGGGCATTTTAATTACTCGGTGAGATTATCGCGTGACACCTTTTTACTGGAAAAACGACGCTACTTTAATACGCAAACCGCCAGCTGCCCACGGGGATTCACAAGTCACGTGAAAGCCGAACGTTAAACGATAATTAACATAAGCATAACAAAATTTATCGTAATAAAATAAGGTTATACTAAATGCTTTGGATTTAATCACATGCGATATCTTTTTCATACGTTAAATCACCTCTGATGCAATGATTTTTCAGGTGGTGGTTGAATTATTGTAATTGATGATGCATTATTCATAAATTTTTTATGCCAATGTTAATTTATTAATTATTGAAATATTTTATCGCGTTGGAAGACGGGAATGTTTGAATTTAATGACGAGTTTTTATCGGTAATTGGGGGGATAAATTAATGTCTCATTGATTAGAATTCATTTTTATCCGCGATGATTTATCTACCTCGTATTTATCCGCCCATAAGTGTATTGAGTTTATTAAAATTCATTCGATTATAGATGATGAAATCGGAAAATTTTTCCTGCGTGTACGATGAAAAATAGTTCAATATCAATTTCCTCGTTATTCCAATCAAGTAATGTCGTTTATTTTCCCTGAATTTTAATTTTTTCCTGGTGATATAAAAATGAATTGAAACGTTAAAATCAATCTCGTTGATGTTGCATTTCATTTCGGTACATTATCTCCCCAATTTCTATAGATAGTTGAGTGCGTTGACGTGTCTCCCCTCGGGAATATCTCGAGAGAACGACAACGGGTGAAAAAAATAAAATATATATAACTGAAAAATTTCCCCTCCCCTGATGCCACGCGACGCATTTTTCCTGAAATATGTAAAAGATTGCTGCACCGAAAAACGCACGCGGCGCATAAATAAACGAATGGGAATGGCTCTAAAAATATTCATCACCCATCATGTCAGGATATATGGATATTCGCGGGGTTAAAAGACTCTAAAATAATACATCCCCCTACCCAAAACCGATATAAAACGAAAAACAGTCTTTCGGGAAGTTGCTCTTATTTTCTCGTTTCTCTCCCTATCGTATAACTTTCCACGGGTTTTTCTCGGGTTTCACGAA